AGCAGGCAGTCAGCCCAGTGCAATGATAAGTATAGCAAATGGAATGTTCTAAGGTTTCTCAAAATCAAGTCTCATGATGTTAAAGGAAATAGTAAATATTTTCAGGGCTTTTTTCTGAATCAAATGGATATTACCTGCAATAGATGTTACTATTGTGTTTTTATTTTAAAATGGTTACCAGGGACATATATAAATTGTTCCCTATATAGGGTGACCAGATTTAGCAAATAAAAATATACAATTCCTAGTTAAATTGAATTTCAGATAAACAAGAATAATTTTAATATGAATAGGTTCCAGAAGTATCAAATGATTTTTAATAGCAGTATGTCTCATGTAATATATGTCTCATGCCATATATGGAACATACTTATACCAAAAAAATTATTGTTTTCTCTGAAATTCAAATTTAGCTGGGTATATATTTTATCTGGCAACCATATTTCTGCAGTTCATTAAAAATTGTATTTAGGGCTAGGTACAGTGGCTCACATCTGTAATCCCAGCACTTTGGGAGGCCAAGGTGGGCAGATCACTTGAGACCAGGAGTCTGAGACCAGCCTGACCACCATGGGGAAACCCCATCTCTACTAAAAATAAAAAATTGGCTGAGTGTGGTGGCAGGTGCCTGTGGTCCCAGCTACTCAGGAGGCTGAGGTGGGAGGTTGCAGTGGGCTGAGATCACACCACTGCACTTCAACCTGGGTAACCACATAAGACTGTCTCACGAAAAAAGAAAATTGTATTTATTTGACATGTAGATTTAATTTATATTTCAATAATGAAATCAGTGTTGTCTTTTTTCTGCTGTCATTTTCAAGTACCAGGATTTTCTACCTAAGCAATTTACACTGTGTCTGTTTCTCTGCCCATCTCACTGTGCTCTTAGGTGCAGAGTTACAAATATATTCTAGTTTTATTTCCGATTCCAAAGAAGACAGATTTTTTAGGTGTATTTCAGTTTTGTGCTTTATACTAAAATGCATCTATTTAAAAAATAAACTTTCAAAATGCATCTAGCTTCTATATTAGCTACAACTATATTTTTCCATTTCTTTTTTTTGTCCTTATCCATATTTCATTTAATTTATAACTGTACCTTGAGCTCTTTTGCTTTCGTCATAAGACTCAAGATTAAATAAATACATTTGCACTTGTACACACACAAATTAACACTCAAACAGACAACATGTTGCTAAGGATAAAAGTCAATAAATAATCAGTATGAAAAACATGAGTCAGGTTATTATAAAAAACATTTTAATCCCACCAGAGAATTCTAATATACAGATTTCTATAGAAGTAGGGGAAATAAGGGCCAGAAACTAAAATAAACTATTACTATTATTTTAAAGAATATGGCTCTTTTTCTATAAACTTGGTTTTGTAATGAAGACGACTACCTCAACTCAGAAAGGCTGAAGAAAAGGTTGTCTGTATCTCTGTTCCTATTTCCCTATGAAGATGGGTAATGAGATGCTCAAAAAGGAATATTCTCAGGCAAACCAAGCCTAGCAAAATGCTTAGAATTGAGAAAGGCTAGGATGCCAAGCAAGGTGTAATCGTTTCTGGGGGATCAGGGGAAACTGTCTCTACAGTCAATGAGGCAAGCAGCAAAGGTCAACCTTAGCAAGCAGTTTTTAAGTAATCCTCCCCAACAGAAATTATTTCATCACATAGAGTGTGGAGATTCGGGCCAGGCGCGGTGGTTCACGCCTGTAATCCCAGCACTTTGGGAGGCCGAGGCAGGTGGATCACGAGATCAAGAGATCGAGACCATTCTGGTCAACATGGTGAAACCCCGTCTCTACTAAAAATACAAAAATTAGCTGGGTGTGGTGGCGCGTGCCTGTAGTCCCAGCTGCTCGGGAGGCTGAGGCAGGAGAAATGCCTGAACCCAGGAGGTGGAGGTTGCAGTGAGCCAAGATAGCGCCATTGCACTCCAGCCTGGGTAGCAAGAGCGAAACTCCGTCTCATAAAAAAAAAAGAGTGTGGAGATTCACCACACAATACATGTATGCCAACCTTTCTAGATCTCAGAAGTCTTATCTTGCTTTTGTGACCCATGTCCTACCAGAATAATTTCAGAAATAAGTTCAATATAATAACCAGCATGTCTCTTTCAGGATTTGAAAGTTTTGATTTGGTTTTCAGTCCTCTTTAATTTTAATTGAAATAGACTAGATTTTCTAGAAGGGTCAGGTCATCTCCACAAAAAAATATAGGACATTTATAGTAGTTTGACCCACAACTTCCCATGAAGTTGAGCAGAAAGTTGGAGTTTGAGCACACAGAAAATTTGACCTTCTGTCTTCATCAGGACCAAATTAAGTATATTCAAAATAAATGTTTTTCACTCATCTTAATTTAAATGTTTGTAGCATGATTGATAATTTGACAAAGAAACACAAGGGGTGACAGAGCATTTATTTTTAATAAAATTATTCTGATACTATCTCTTAACACCTAAAATTCCTTACTCTGCAGCAAGCAACTTCTTTTTAACAATGATTCAGAAAGGGCAACTATTGCTTCAAAGATTGAACCTTCTGCAGCATAACTCAGCAATAGAATTATTCAGAAACTGCCATCAGATGAGCAGTAAAGGAGCCCTGGGTTGCACCATTGGTCTGAGGTCAGACTGAATGAATTAGCCCTAGAAGAATGAGGATCCCAAGTGCCCATGATGAAAGGCAGTCAAATTAAACACTTTCTCTCTCCTTGTCTGTTCTCCACCAGGCTCCTGCTTACACCATTTTAGTTCTGACACCATAACTGCTCAGAGGGTAGATGATCATACATTTTCTATTGGAGGGAAAATCATCTTTTAAGATAATGTCTCATGTGGAGATGAGAGTGCCATTAAGAGGAACTATTTTCAATGCCTCTATATCAAAGTCTAAGAATCCCAGCACCTGTCAAAAGTGAAACAGGAAATACTCTAAGTCTGTTTGGGCATTGCAGGAAGAAGGTGACGACACAAAGAAAGTAGGAAAAATAATTGAATATTTTGACATTGTGAAAATATATAAATGACATCTTTTCTCAAAAGTACTGTTGCTGGCAATTCCGTAAAACAGCAAATAAATTTTATACTTCGCTGAAGACAATGGTTATTCGGGCAATAGGTTAAAATTTGTTTCACTTTTAAACTAATTGTCAAATTGTTTTCACTGGCATTTTACAGAATGAGTCAAGGAGATAAATGTATCTATTTATCTGTAATTTTTACTGTCAACTCTTTCTAAAAGGATGCAATTAAATCCTTATAAACCACACATTGGACAGAATTTTTTTATTACTTGGAAAGAGGAATAATGAACAGTGTGTGTAAGACAGAAAGAGAGTTAGTTTTACCAATCTTCTTGGGTAAGATAGTTATTACCCCAAACATTAAATTTAACTCTAGCTTCTAAGGAAAACTAAGAAACACCATGGACTATATAGTTTAACTTTTTTTTTTTTTTTTTTTTTTTTTGAGACAGAGTCTCACTCTGTTGCCCAGGCTGGAGTGCAGTGGTGTGATCTCAGCTCACTGCAACCTCCGCCTCCCAGGTTTAAGAGATTTTCCTGCCTCAGCCTCCTGAGTAGCTGGGATTACAGGTGTGTGCCACCATGCCCAACTAATTTTTTGTATATTTAGAGGAGGGAGGATTTTACCATGTTGGCTAGGCTGGTCTCAAACTCCTGACCTCAGGTGATCTGCCCGCCTCAGCCTCCCAAAGTGCTGGGATTACAGTCATGAGCCACTGCATCTGGCCCCAGTTTAACTCTTTTCATAAAACTAATCATCACTTATTCACAACAGTATATTGAAGTGCAATTAGTATTTTTGCCATGCTGAGGTGGATTCCTTAAAGTGTGTAGGTAACTATGTGTCCCTATTTCTACAGGTATTTCCTACAAATGGAAATAGAAATAGCTGTCAACAATGCCCATTTTGAACAAGTCTGTTTTAAAGATGATAAACATAGTATGCAGCATGTTTTTAATGTTCATTTTTATTAGACATTTTGTCAGAAACTACCTGATATTAAATTGAATAAAAATTTTTGAAAGAAGGAAGATGAATGAAAAGATATTATTTTGTTTTATGTGCTCAATTTAGCTTTGGATTGTTAGGACCAGCATGTGGCAATGCCTTCTCTCTATATTTTAAGCTTGTTTTTATCACCTTTTAAATACTGATTTCATATGCTAAAATAATAATAATTTGTTAAAAAGGGAACTAATCTATCCTTTGCTTTTAATCATCTTAATCATTTAGATCACAACGGGTCAGTCAAATCATTATATTTTGTGATAATAGAAAGATCAATACATTGGATAATAGAAAGAGATCAATACATTGGGTAAAAAAGGCTTCCATGATACATGATTCATTCAATTAACAAACATTTTGAGCTCTTCACACAAAGTATTTGCTAGCACTGGGTCACAAAGGTAATAGAAATCTGCTCCATCACAGTGGAGAAACACGCACAAAATTTTATAGTGGAACCTAATTCATAATGTAGGTCTATATATTATTTTTAAATTTATAATGAAGTCTTATTAATTGATTTTTAACCACATAAAGCAGGTAAATAAAACAATTAGTTCTTATACTAAGCAAAGATATTTACGTCTGAAAATTTAAATTTATGTCAGTATTCTCTCTCTCTTTCCCACTAAGGCTGTGCCAAAGAATCCCTTAGGATGACTGAGTCTTGGGCTTTGTAAAGCCCTGACCATCTGACATAAGGTCACTTGCCATCTCTGTGCCTTAGCATCTTCAGTTGCCAAATAAGGACTTTTCTTAGAATCATTAATACAATTCCAATGAAATTATTTGATTTTGAACTCCTTGAAGAAAAACATGCAGCAAGGCAGAAATTTGTTATTGTTACTGTTTGCTATTAACTAATTTAAAATCAATTATAATTCTTTTAATATCATGCCACCCATAGGTGGCAGTGGGCAATATTTTCAAAGTTCAAATATTGTTTTCTTTATTACAGGTTTCTTTTCTCCATGGAAAACTCCAAAGCCTGTAAGTTGGAATTATTATGCTTCTTTTTTATTTCTACTTATCATTGCAATTCCATTAAATAAAAGTTGAATTGGGCGACCTCAAAATCTCTCAACTCTAGGAGTTTGTAGTGTCAAAAAAATAAAGCCTCTGTGTCCCTTTGTCTTGTATCTGTCCCACAAGTACAAGAGTCACTCATGTTTCTTTCCTATGAAAACAATTCTGCCCTTTTTAAAAATATGTATACTTACAAAATGAACATTAACACTCTGCAGTCTGATGTAATGAAAGTACTTTAGAAGCCTTTTGTTTTTCTCCATCAGCAATACTATGTAGTCTTCATAACATGGAATTTTTGGAAACTATGCAAACTAAAGGTCTAGAAGTCTTTAGTTTGATCTACTCCACAAGAAATTTGTTTGTATATATTTATATTTACCCTTACATTTTAATGTCTATGTAGCTACATATATTTCTGTGTTGTGTGTATGTCTATGAAGCTACATATATGCATATATGTATGTGTCATGTGTGTATATTTTACCTCTGTATATATGTGTGTGTGTATATATATAATGTGTATGTATATAGATATACACATGGGTGTATGTGTCTTTGTATACACACGTGTGTGTGCATGCACACACACACACACACACACACACGTATGTATATTTAAGCTCTGTATACTGTATATATATTCTACCAAACCTGACAATCACTAAAAATGGTGCTTCTGAATCTTTTTTAGATACTGGATATCTGTAGCATTATCTGACCACTCTAGGCCTTCTTCTCTATGAAAATTGCTAAAATGTTTGTACCAGTATAAGAAGATGGTGGGTTTTAATAATCTCTTTGCAGAGCTAGGCTAGCCACATTGGCTTAGCAGTTAGAGATGGTCTTTACTTGCAGTTACATTGAAACTATTAATTGCCCAAGTCCCAAGAGCTGGAACTGGTTCTCTGGGATCCCATTTTATGATGGGTTAGAATACTCTGCCCTAAATGGGATGTGTGAAACCCCTGACTACAAGAGACTGCGGCAAAGCAGAACACTCCCCAAACAGGACCTCATTTAGGATTTGATTCATCTGGTCCACCGAGAACATTAGATGGGAAAACCAGTCTTATTTAAGCTTAGCAAATCACATAAGGATGCACGTGATTTTGAAAAGAGATACTTTTAAACGTTTAAAATGAAATTTGTTTTATCTTAACCAAGGTCTAAATAGTTCCTTCCTTTCACCACCAAACTTAAATCTGTGCTCTGTGGTTATACACATCTTTATCTAATTTAACAAGGAACCTTGCAACCTCATCATGGTGCTACAATTATGCAATCTAGTGATTTCCTTATATGTACCACATTTACACGAATTATGTCATTTGGTATAATTACAGCATTTGCTGTCATTATTGTAATTACATTCATAGTCAATAATTCCAAAAAATGTTTTATAGAACTCAATGTACAATTAATCCTGAATCCATGTATTTCTACAAAAGCTAACGCTTGGACTTCCAGGTCATAGACAAGAGAAGGTAGAAGGCTACAGAATTAATGTCTTCCATGTATCTACCAAAAATTCCTCAGACTGAGGACTATAATGAGAGGAAGTGTGGCATTAATACACTTGCTCAGGGTGTTGGCATTAAAGGCATATTGCCTGGGCTCAAGTTTCGCTTCTTCTCCTAACTATATGACTTCACTATATGACTCCTAACTACAGCTATCTACTTAAGCTATCAGTGTCTTAAGTTATATATCTGTAAAATGGAGATAATAACAGCCCTCTTTTATAGTTATTGTGAAGAATTCTATGAGTTAAACCATGTAAGGTACTTAAAACATGTTGCCTCTACATGGTGAGCTTGAAAACAAACTACTATCACCACGGAAAGCAGACCCTCCGTGCATGAGCCTTTACCAAGTCACTCTATGAAATGAACATAGTTGACTGAACTATTAATCCAAACAAGTATATAACCATATACCCATCGTATGTGGGTTTATAAGCACTGTCCTCTGAGTGTGGCCCTTATTGGGCCTCTCTTATCCAGTCCCACTTTCCTGGGCACGGACACCTGGGACCAGACAAGAGAGGTCCAATAAGAAGCCTGTTGAGAAATAAACACGTGGCAGGTAACACAAGCTCTAAACAGGTGAAGGCCAGGAAGGCACCAGGTAAAGGATCGATGATATCTTGGGTCAGAATAAGGAAATGTTATATGGGGTGAGATCTAGCTAGCTTCCTCCTAGTCCTGTGTGACTTCCTGACTCTTTGCTGTCCTACTGATCCACATCTTATGCTATTCCATGTCAAGATAGTCGCTTCCTGTTGAATAAGTAATATGTTAAAATAGTGAGTTCTCATTTTCTCCATCTGGAAAGGATCAAGTACATTCTTCAAATATAGAATCAAGCTAAATGCTGTCATCTTCCAACCCTGCCCAAAATAGTGAGGTGGAGTATTTAAACTACCCTAGTTTCTATAGGAAGGAAAGAGTTTCTGAACAGAGCATTTCATGAGAGTAGGGGAGAGGGACCTGCCTCATTCACATCTCTCTACTCCCTGTGTGCACCCTAGAATCAGAAGCTGAGATTGGAGAAATTAGCTACCAGCCTGGCCAACATGGTGAAATCCTGTCTCTACTGAAAATATAAAAATTAGCTGGGCATGGTGGCACATGTCTATAGTCCCAGCTACTTGGGAGACTGAGCAGGGAGGATCACTTGAGTCTGGGAGGTGGAGGTTGCAGTGAGCTGAGATCATGCCCTTGCACTCCAGTCTGGGCGACAAAGTAAAACCATGTCTCAAAAAATAAAATAAAAATAAAAATGAACAGCCAGAGCCATGAATAGATTATTCTGTTTGATGCCTGGGTATGGACCAGACATCCAGGCTGCTCACTGATATTTCAGTGCTGCCCATTCATACAGTTGCACAGACATCCATTTACTCACCAAGGCCAGCAGTACAGACTTCTCTAGGTAGAAAACAACTTTTATTTCCATTTGTGCTTATTCTAGTGAGATGTTTATAAACATTGGCCTGGGTCTGGACACCACTGGGACTGAACAAGAGAGGCCCAAAAAGAAGCTTGTTGGGAAATAAACACCTGGCAGGTAACAAAACTCTAAACAGGAAAAGGCCCAGAAGATGCTAGGTAGAGCAAGTGAGGCCATCGACCTCAGTAAGGAGACAGGATCAACATCCAGGGGGGTTCATGAAGGTAGAAATAAGCCAGAGTGTCCCAGGTAGAAAGCAAAAGTCCAGAGACTAATGTGCCTAAGGAAGTAGGGAAGAGGTAAGGTAATGTACTCCTCGAAAGGTGCAGCCCCAGCTAAGGGGGTGACCTCTGACCCCAGGGTGGGTGGTGTGCCCCACAGTCTTCTGGGTAGGAGCCACCAGGTAACTCCGTTGAGGAGGGAGCAGGATAAGAGGTGGCAGAGAACAGAATAGTTTGTCTGCTTTTTTCATGGGTGCAGTGATTTTCTGCTTTACAGTCTTTTAAGAAACCCTGACAGAGTTACTCAAGAGTTAATGAATGTCATAGCAAGAAGTTGTGAATGCTTTACTAAGCATGAACTGGACTCTTGACTAATTCCCCAATCTCTGTGCTACAGAAATTGTAGAATTTGTCAATCTGCCACGGCAGTCTTCCCGAACAGTGCCCAAAGCATTACTTATTCTGTAGTTTCAAGATTGTTTTTTAGAAATACCAATATTTCACCTGAAGCATGTCCAGTGACTATATGTGAACAATAGATATACCAGCAAGACACATGTGGGTATCAAGTAACCCTCAAAGGAGTACAGGAGAAAGAAATAGACACTTGCTGAAGCCCTGTGATGACGAGTGGGATAGATACTTCAGCTCCTCACACCATACTTCTGATTTATTTACTTTTTGCTATTTAGTATCTTATATTTGAAAACAGAAGGGATAAAGTCACAGCCAGAATGCATCCACATGGTGCCTAAAGTTAGCTAAAGTGAAAAATTACCAAGGATATGCCTTTACCCACAAATGTGGTTTTCCACGTCATGGCAAGGTCACCCAGAATGGATGACCAAGGAAACCCAGAATAGCTTTCTGTATGAATTTTGCTATCAAATGAATTATGAAATACATAAAGATTTTTACAAATGAGAACACAAGGTCTGCTGAGCAGAAAATTCACTAAAATTCACTATAACTCAAACCATATTTACCAGATATTCCCCCAGTGTGATACTATATAAATGATTACTCCTGTTAGAGTTACAGGTGGTTCTGACCCAGGATCTGTCACTGGCAACTACTGGACCTCAGACAAGCCACTTACCCTCTCTGTGCTTCTAGAGATTATGTTTCATAGGAGGAAATTGAACTAGACTAGGGGTTTTCCATCCTTGTCGGTTAGAGAAACTTTTGTTCAAATGAAATCTTGGGCAGTAGCCCATATAGAAAACAAATTAAAATGAAGCCAGTCTTACTGAAGGAAGGGCCAGTAACCACTTCTTTACCAGTTTGCTGATTCAGCACAAACCCTTGCCACATGAGGAAGGTGAGCAGACCCAGGGTCAAGAGGAGCCAGCCACGCCCCGCTAGGAAGTTTGGCCTTCTTCCTGAGGACCATACACACTCAGGGCAGAGTTTCAGCAGGAGGGCAAACTAATCTGCCAGTTTATTCAAAGCAGGAAAGAAAAATTGAGTTTGAATGAGTCATCAGTTGATGAACGAAAATGAAGTTGGCAGTGCCAACAGGTGATCTCAGGGAGCCTGGCTTCCACCTTGCTAAAAAGTGGTATTGATCTCTGCTTTCTCTATCTCATAGTGCTAATGTCAGGACCCAAGAAGATCATGTATATAAAAAAAAACCTGAGAAACTGGGAAGTACTCTGCAGGTCTTTAAGAAATCAGAGAAGTAGCCACATCAGTAGCAGCATTCTGGGGGAGGAATCACCAGATCCACAGTAAATGAGGCTTCCTAGGAGACTCTGAACAATCCCTGAATCCTAGATGGTTGCATAATTACATCTAAACTGAGAGGAAAGTGACTGAATATTCATGCATAAGAGGTTGTTGCTATATGCATAGGTGTCAAATTAGTATATGCAGACGACTGTAGCTTCTGTTCGGGTAAAAGTGATATCATATGTTGAAACCACCTTAGAAAAGGAACAAATGATATCATACATTTCTAAGTACTTACATCTGAATTATCTTGAGACACATTATATTTATCTTATGGGGGAAAAAACAGAGAAATTAAGTGGTTTGCCAAAGATTACCAGCTAATACTTGACAAGGTTATGTAAGTTATAGATCAGTTTGCATTCAAAAGTAAGGCACCACTTGCATTTATAACAGTTTATGATGTTGTCTCACATAGGCATAAAATCTTTTCTTTCAAGGAATTTATACCAGAGTTTTACCCGTTCCCTGGAAGAAAAGTCCACAAGGCAAAAAAGATTTACCTGAAGGTGACAAGAGAAATAGCCAGGAAGGATTCATCAGTCATTTTCTCTGTCCTCTCATTTTTCAGATAATGGACCGATGGGAGAATCAAGGCAGTCCTCAAACGAGTTTATCTGCTCCGGCCATGCCACAGAACCTGCCCTTCCCACCTGCCCTTCACAGGAGCTCCTTTCCTGACTCAACAGAGGCCTTTGACCCACGGAAGCCTGATCCATATGAGCTCTACGAGAAATCTAGGGCCATTTATGAAAGTAGGCGTAAGTGAAAGCCACATAAAACAAGGGTACATTAATGATAGCTAAGGGCCTGCCAGGAGATATATTGAGGCTGAATTATCTGGCATGGTTTTATATTCTGAGTTTCAAAAGTGTTTCAAGAGTAGAGCCAACTCATCTAAAATTATCTTAGAAAGCCTGTTATGCTAAAAGTAGGTTTATTGTATCTTTCAGCTTACATTTTATCTCCTACTTTTCTTCCCCTAATCTCCTGAAGAAAATCAGGAATATATTTTGGGGGATTGGGGGGTGCGGTTGCTGGTTTTGTTTAAGATACCAAATACGGAAAAGAAGTGTTTGGCTTTTTTTAAATCGGTTTAATGTGATCTTGAGCCTTAAAGCTTAGATTTTCCTTAGAGTCTTGAATGGAGCCATTGAAAAAGTTAGGACATTGAGTAAAAAGTCAGCCAAGCCTTCCCACCTCACAGGCATGAAATCAATTGCTTCCGAAGGCAGCATTGATCTAGATGCCAATCATCTCTGCCACAGTTTTCTGCTTCTCTTTTAGTGCAGTCAGGCACATTTGAACATTCGGTCTTAAAATATCGTGTATGCACTTGTCACCCTATCTGAAGGTCTTTTAAAATGACTGTACTTTGTAAACATTAGAAAACAAGACTTTTAATATTGCTTCTACCATTGCTGTGCTTCTTTCTACCATCTTGCAAATCACTTCCTCCACATGTTAGAAGACAGGAATCTCAGTGTAAATAAGAACCTGTGTATTAAATGATCAGGAAACCCAGCCTCATAGAAGAGTTTGGTCCCTGGCGCTCCCATTTATGGTCTACTGATTTCCTTTGCTTCACTGTTCCATCAATGTCTTGTTTCCAACTTTATCATCTGAAGCATGAACAGCACGTTTCAAATTGGGTATGATCTCAGAGGATCTCAAATCTGCTTACTCTTTTGATGAGCTCAGGGGCTGAGAATTATGCACCCAGCTGGTAAAGGGGAAAGCAGACATACTATCTTTTCCCCATCCTCTACAACTCTTTGTAGAACTAACTTTGGTTGATAAAATGGTTAGGATTGCAGGCCATTGAGAAATCATTTATATCAAAATGAAACATCTCCTCACCACAAACCCACACACTTTTTTTTAAGAAGTGGCTACATCAGAGCTACTGTGTTTCATTCGTCTCCTTCTGGATGAACAACTGAAATATCCTATCTCTAGACTGTAACATTAGAATGTCTTTGCTGCAGTAAAGAACAAAGTAGATATTCTTAACTACATAATATACAGTATGAATTCAGGGTATTAATGTTCATTAAACTGAAAAAAATTAAAAAGATTTTCAGCACAGTTTCTAATACCTTTTCTGCTTCAATAACCAAGTATTGATTGAATACCCATCTTGCTGTCAGCACTGTGAGGAGATACCAAAGATGAATAATATGGCCTGCTCTCACTCATGTAAGGGGAAAATAAGAATAATTCATGTAAACAGGTAGACAGTAAGATAAAGTGAACAGTTCTAACATGGAAGGCAGAAATGCATAGGATCAAAATATCATCCTCACCTCCTTGGCTTGTTTAATTTTGTGATTGCATTTAGGAAGCATTGAGAGATGCTTCCTCCTGCTTTTCGTCTTTTCCTTAGTCATTCGCTGCCATCCTTTTTGCAGCTTCCTGGCCAATGCAAAGCTTTATGATTCAGGACAAAAACAATGTTGGCATTTATCTCCAGTTTTCTCTTTATGGTTGTCTAATACTGTTGTGCCCTTGGTTTCTTTGTACATGACCCTCTCTCAACTCTAAAAGAATTATTTCTTTATCTAGCCCCTGCAATGCTGTTTCTGTTCATTGCCTTTCCCCTCCTCACCTGTAACAAACCAAGCAAACCAATCCACCTTAACCTCCTGGAGTTTTCTTTTTCAGTCCTCCTCTGGGAGTTCTTTATCCCCTTTCCCCTCTACAACAGCAGGAACAGCAAATATCCTCACTCCCCACCTCGCCCTGCCATGGGCCCCCATCCGTGCCCTCCCTGTGCCATTGCTGCTGCTGCCCTCATCACACCCCCTTCCTGCTTTCATCAGCTCTCTCTAATGTTTCTAAGGTCACAGTAATGTTTTCAGGGTCAAAAATCTCAGGAAGCCAAAAGAGGGCAAGCTCATTTTCTTTCCCATCCTTCTCTTTTCTATCACATTTCTTCATAACACTAAATGGAGTGTGAATGAAACATAGAAATCGTGTCAAGGTAAGAAAAGCTCCACCACTGGAGATTAAGGAAACCAGGAGAGCATGGCGCCACTTTCTCTTGTCTCTCTGGATAGCTGATCAGTTCGCTCTGCTTGTGGATATGTGTGTGTCTTTAAAAAAAAAACAAGTAAGACAGCCTTTTGCTCTCCTGTACATTTCCATTTCCAACTTTCACATTCTCATGTAAATGATTAAAGCAATACTAAAAGAAAAAAACTTTTAACTAATGATTGGAAGGCTCAGTCTGTTTCTCATTATCTTCAAATAGGTTTCTTTTTAACGCAATGATCATAAAATGTATGCACTCAAACAAAAGATCAATATTTCAAAATTTGTGATTATGAACCATTGCTATTCTTATTCTTTGAATTGCATGCATAACATTCAGGTTTGGCTCTATTTATCCTTGTCTTTTCCTGGGGGTGGAGGGAAATCAGTGCAAAGTGTGGAAAGGAATCCTAACCAAAGCTGTTTAAACTAAGTCCTTTGACATTTCCCCTAGTCTATAGTGATCTCATGGTGTCCTTCCTTACAACCATGTCTAAAGCTAAACAGATTTTTGCATTCACATTCAAAACTGGATTGCAGTCGCCAGATAAAAAGATGTCCCTCCACCCGCAAGCCTGAGCTGTAAAGAGCTACAGAATGTTTGTTCTGTCAAGGCTGTCAAGAAATATTTGGATTCAAGTCACCAGTCCCCTGCAAATGATGGAAATTTATCAAATGATGTAAATGCTGCTGTGCCTCATTTGACTCATAATTAGATTATACTGACATTTTAATGTGCATGCACAGGACCTCTTAATAAAGATGTATTCCTGGAAAAAAAAATGCTGTGATTTTAAACAAATGAAGATAACCATAGGATAGTAGAGCCACATGAAACAGAACATGACAGGTACATGCTATGATTAGGCAACACCTCCTATCTTCAATGAGATCTCAAGATGAGCTGGGAATGGAGCAAGACAGAGAAAGGAAGATTCTGCCACCCAGCAGGCTAGCAGTGCCTCTGAATTCAGAGCATTAGGCACAGTGCCCGGAGGTGGCGACTCCAGGCCTCACGTCAATCAGCAAGAATATATGAAACACTCACTATGTATCTAGAACTCTGCAAGACACTCCACAAGAGAAGTTATGATAAATAACCTCTGCTCATTAGAAGCTTACAGTGAAGGTGGGGACACAAACAAACACATAGGAAAACCATTTCTGAACAAGGCTCCGTTACGCAACATAGCAAATAATGTCAGTATTTTAATGTGTGAAATTACACAGTAAAGATAACTAAGTAATGAGACTTTCTCAATTTCCATGTGCAAAATTGATATTTTATCTGTTAAGTACCTTTCATCATCAAAATCTCATTAATCCTTGCTGGAGAACTCTGTGAAAAAAAAAAAATTTCCCCATTAACTTAATTCCATATAAGTCTAAACTTACTATATGTAAAAGTATGACTATGTGAAAAAAATCCCTAAAAAAGTTTTAATCAATGGGCCTTCTGGATCTTTATATTAATTATTTAAACATTGACCCTATGTCAGTACTACCAATTCCCAGAAAAGGACAAAAATCTCCCCAACTCCCGTCTCTACCAAAGACTTTTAGACAAATGTAACTATTCTGTTTGTGATAATAATCTCTGTTGATAATTGACTTGATGCCCCACTACTTGCCATTTTAAAAACTGAAAACAAAAGAAAATAGATACCTTTGCATGCCGGGACAAGCCATGCTATTTTTTACTTCCCTCTTCTCTGTCTTTTTCCCAAGAATCTCATAAAGGAAGAACTTGAATTTGATTTGCAGTCACAATAGGAATGGCTTGAATGTTCTGGTTCGTATGCTAACATTCCTAATGCTGGACTACAGATGCCATTGCTAACCTTGGAGAAAAGCAGTCCTAAAGGCCATTAGTGTTTTCTCTACCTCATCTCCTCCTGCCCTTCTTTCTCTATGTGTGACTGCATTCGTCCTCGCACTACATATTTCTAACATGATAGGAAACCTTTTTTCACTGGCTTAGTTACTTATAAGACTGTCTAGGGTGACTACACATGGGAGTTTTTCTGGACAATCCTTGTCTGTGTTGTCCTAGCATAATTTTTAATAGTTCACTTTTTGCCACCCTAGACTGTCCTCATGTGAATGATAAATTATAATGTTTTCCTTTTTTATATAATTTATTCAAGGAATAGTCATCATCGCTGTTCAAGAAAGGCATATATCTAAATGTACACACCGTGAATAAAAGGCGTAATACCTCCTCAGATAAATAATTTTTTCAAGCTAATTTATTCAGCTGATAGAATTTTTGCCTATACATATTTTAGCCCTAATTTGAAGTAAAGGCTTATTCCTGACTTGTGTTGGTAGCGAAGCTCCAAAGTTAGATATATGTACAAATCTACTTCACAGCAAACGAAGTAGAAAAGAAATAGGTAGTAAAGCTTTACACATTTAAGTACTATGCCATGGAGTCTTCTTTCTTAATAGAGAAAATAAGCAGGTTCAACATCACAATAGTCCCTGAAATGAAAGGGAGTTAATCTCATCTGTTTCCTTCTTCTTGGAAGGATTATACTTAGACAACTACAGCTGGATGACTGGTAATAAAAAGAAGAATTGTGATAGGCAAGACAGTGTAAAGTGCTTCCCAAAGAAATGAGTGTGGCTCACTGTGGTATCTTACAAAATAGTTTCGATCATTCTGATGGGCCTGTTGACACAGGAGAGGGCCTTGTCCTGTTGCTTCACTTTTCTTTAAGCCAGATTTGTTGTAAAGGTTTGTCTTATCATTCAGCTCATGGGGAAATTGCCTGGGCCTGTTCTACGCTGCAGCCTTGAAAGCTGGAGCTAATAATCAGATGCAACCAGGAATGGGAAAAAAAATTCTTATTTCCTAAAACTCTTCCCTCAGGGTTCAGTCCCTTGGTTTAAACCCAAGTTGAATTATGACTGAAGTTGTTCAAACTTTTTTCTCTTCACATTGAACTTTGGTTATAATAAGTAAACAATTTATGAGGTACAACATGTCCACAGTCCTTTGTGGTAAGACATCACTCAAATGTAGAATCATAAAAATGTCAAGGATCCATATGGTGTAATGTGCCTTATGGTATAACCTCTTTAGAACAGAAATTTCTCTGAAATATCTTCAAAAGAGCCTCACACAATCAATTTTCCTTTCCAGAGTTAGAATAATAAGCAATGAGTATCATAGCAAAGGTAGCAATCAAAAGTGACCACAGGCCAGTGAAAGAGCATAATGGAGAAGCAAACCGTTTTGTAGTACTGTATCTGAAATGATAATTTGTGGCAGATCAAAAATGGACAGTTATGTTTTTCACATCTAGGGCTGTTATCCTGCTCTTTTGTTGTTCGTTGCATATTATTGAATTCTTTCATTGTTCAGTATTGTAATACACATGTAATTTATGGTTGATCACAAACAGGTGGTTATATTTCTAAACTATCAGGTTTTCTGTTGCTCTATCCTCGTTATTAGTGAGTAAGAGTTGTAGTTTGCACTGTCTCCCATCCTAACAGCGAGCCACTTGAAAGGATGGAGTACTACAATATTATTCACCACAGCACACCGTTTCAATTTCTCAATGAAAAGCGATGGGGGAAGCCACATCACATATGGTAGTATATACTAGGGTGCTCAAAACCAAAGCGCTGAAGCCTATGAAAATCTTTCAGCTCAAGCCTTCCTGATTCCAAGTCTCCTTTTCCCCTGTAATTAAATACCCAATTGAGCCAAGCTAGAAATATCAAAAAGTTTTAGAAAGGTTTAAATAAATTCATGGATGCCATAGCTACAGGCTGCTGTTATGTGATTATGAAAGGCCACCGTGCCTTCCCAGAGAACACCCTCACATATGAACACTGTGCTACACCAAACCCTGGCCTGATTTGCTCAAATACTGCTGGTGTCCAATGCTTTAAAGTACCCCTCACACACACATATGTTCTCTAGAACACAGTCTTACTTTAGTGAAATATTAAAATAAGATAAGTTAATGTTAAAACACTTTTACCAGTGACTCTAGTATTAGAAAAATAAAAGGATAGAAAAAGATGTAATAATGTTATCATGTTAAATGTCCTCAATTGTACTGAGAGATTAATTTTCTGCACGCTTTTCTTATGAGAAAAGCATTATTGTTATCCTTAGTATAATTTATGTTATGATTTGATCTGTGAAAAAAATTTGCCTTTCAGATGGAGTTTCTAATATATCGCGTTGTACATCACTTTGCAGTTATAATATATTGATATGAAGATCAGTAAATCCACTTAAGCTGTATCTCCCATTTTAATATGTAGATTTTAATTAATTTGGAAATCTGATTTTAAAAAGGTATCCTCAGATAGCTTTCTAAAAAACCATGGTAACATTTACATTTCCAACAGGTTCCCTTTGAAATAGGAAATTACCATGATGTGAGCTAAGTAATACACAGATAGCAAAATAAAAGCTGTGGTAGGACACATATTTTTCCCATGTATTTTAGAAATTAGATACAATCCTAGAGCTTATAAATTTATTTCATTCAGTAATTTAAAATTAAAAGATCCTGGAATTAGGGGATAAAGGCAGGGGGAGGAGTAAAAAGTAAACTCTAAAAATCTGGTCTTGATTGAAAGTTATTTAATATATCAGAGCATTTTGTTGGTTGCACAAGCTGACAGTGTAACCCAGCGTATTTTCATGAATACATGTGAGACTATCAGGGTTGCAGAGCTTAAGCGCTCGATGAGAGTATAACATAAAATGTCAGTTTTATACCTAATGGAAGTGTTTCAAAGGTAGCACTCTTCCATCCCTGATACAGACAAAAGGACATTTCTCAAGTCATAATTCTAAGCAGCCACACCAAACATGAAGGTTCTTTAAAAATAACAATTCTGCCAGAAAGCTAATTTGCCTTTACTGTGAAAGCACAGCTTACCTGGCAGGAATGATCATTATGCCCTCCATGAGCAGACTGGCTCTTTATTTGAAACAAAGATCAGTGAAAAAGCAACAAGACTTGGGTCTTATTTTACCTTTTAAACTTTAAGAATAAAATAAACATTTTTTCATAGTGCTTTATATGGTACAACTATATTAGAAAATTATGTCATCTTAACACATTCAGAATGGGGAGTTCTATTGTATTATGTTCTTACTCTCTGCCTTTTAAAACTCTTAAGTTGCCTCATCTATAAATGCTCTTAAGGTATAATCATTTATGATTCATGATTATATAACATAAATAATTATTTATAGATGAAAATAATAATAATGGTATGAAATTTCTTCCAAGCAAAAAATAGTTCACATATTGAAGCCTAAAAGTGTGAGAGGAGTGGTTCTTGCCAGAACATTTTACAGTTCTTTTACCTACAATATGAATTTGTGTTATTGAGAGGTTTAATAATGTTTAGTTAATTTTCATCTGAAATTCCTTACATAATTCAAAAGCAAAACAATGTGGTAAACTTAATATTAAATTCATCATAGAGGCAAAAATATCCTGGCACTCTCTCAGATAGTAGTATCTCAGCATATCTTCACATAGATCTTTAGCTTCTTAAGTATTTCTTGACCAGAGGTTTGCATACATGTGTCATCTGCCCATCTGATATTAAACTCCGTTGTGTGGGTTTAGGAACTTCTCTAGTGACAGAACAGTGAAGGAAAAGGAAGAATACCTGGAGATGTTAGGAAAAAATGTATAGCATGGTCAGAAAAGAATGTATTATTTATTCATAATAATACTAAAATGAAACAAGAAAGAGCTTTATTGAATTATGCATTCTAATTAAGTTTAAAAGTTAGATATAGCAAGTATGTTTTCTAAAAAGGATGTTGAAGAGTTTCCTGTGAGATAGTATAGAATACCTTACACAAGTACCATAGCATTTCAGGTCTTACCATTAATTAACGGAATGAAAGTTGCTTTACGTCTCTCATTCTGTTAATTCTTCTATGATATTAAGACTAGGGATTTAGAAGGCAGAGTGAAAAATCAAGAGACAATTTAATTATGTCATTCTTCAGGTTTAGCAGTTCCAGATAAAGACCTGGTGAAAGTCTGCGTTTCTCAAACATGCAGTAAGGAGCTGCATATCTCAACCACACAGAGTAGGAGGAAGCATGTCAATTGGAGTCTTGCTACCCATGAAAAATGTTAATGCACAAGAGCAACATGTCTCCAGAGACTTCCAGAACACAGTACGCAACCAGGTTGTTCTAGGTTCTCGAATTCTAAATGTGGAATATGCCTACATTTTGAAGGTGCTTTATACTCACTTTTTTGAATTTTTATGTTATTAGATTTAACATAGATTATATCATAAATCTTATAAAGGATTTCTATTGCTAAAATAAACTAATTTAACTCAACTACTTATACATAACTTCAACTACCCAGACAATTGGAAGTATCAAAATATTTTGACTAGTGTACATAAATCAATACCATCATCGATTGGATTTTCTACTTTTCATTTCAAAGTTTTATGAGACAGAATTATAACCTAATTTTAAAGGACCTATATTTTCCTTATACATTTCACATTCTACATTGACCTTACTTTCAATTAGTATTCTTATAATTAGAATCAAAACTTAATATTTAGAAATGGTAATCTTGACGGCCGGGCGCGGTGGCTCAAGCTGTAATCCCAGCACTTTGGGAGGCCGAGGCGGGTGGATCACGAGGTCAAGAGATCAACATGGTGAAACCCCGTCTCTACTAAAAATAACCAAAATTTAGCTGGGCATGCTGGTGCATGCCTGCAATCCCACCTACTCAGGAGGCTGAGGCAGGAGAATTGCCTGAACCCATGAGGCAGAGGTTGTGATGAGCCGAGATCACGCCATTGCACTCCAGCCTGGGTAACAAGAGCGAAACTCCGTCTCAAAAAAAGAAAAAAGAAATGGTAATCTTATTCCACCTTATCGTAAAAGAAATTCAGATTTTTCTATTTTGGATGCATGTAAAAGAAACATATTTACAGGCCAGGCGTGGTAGTTCACACCTATAATCCCAGCACTTTGGGAGGCTGAGGCAGGTGGATCACCTGAGGTCAGGAGTTCGAGACCAGCCTAGTCAACATGGTGAAACCCCATCTCTATCAAAAATACAAATATTAGCTGTGCATCATGGTGGGTGCCTGTAATCGCAGCTACTGGGAATGCTGAGGCAGGAAAATCGCTTGAACCCGGGAGGCGGAAGTTGCAGTGAGCCCAAATTGTGCCATTGCACTCTAGCCTGAGTGAAAAGAGTGAAACTCCATCTCAGAAAGAAAAAAAAAGAAAGAAACGTTTACATACATGCTCATACATAAAGCAAGATAAATCTGTTCACTAACTTGGATCTTAGAGGAAAAAATGTTTTAAACATAAGCATAGGATTGTGGTTGGGGGAGTTATGATAGCAACAAAAAGAAAGTAAAGATGAATTTTAAAATGCCATAAATCAATTTCAACTTTAATTCCCCATTTTCCCATCCAGAACAAGTGCCACCCAGGACCAGTGTTCGAATGGATTCCTCTGGCAAGTATTGTTCAGCATTCACAGTTCTGTGAACAAAACGTCTTCCATTTTATGTAACAAATCATTCTTCTGAGTAGTATCAGTTTCTTAGTATATAATCACTGTGCTACTTTAGTCACCTACATGAAACATGTATTCAGGGTAGAGAGCAAGTCTCATCATCGTGAGCCTAAACGCCTGCCAACAAAAACAAAGGAAAACAGTCATATTCATGAACTTCTTTCATAAAATACTCTAGTAAAAGACTGAATTAAAAACAGTTGCCAAGGAGAGCCATCAGACTGACTAGACTGTGCTACGTGATCCAGTAACCACCAGCTCCATGTGGTTATTGGGCACTTGAAATGTGGCTATTCTAAATTTAGAAGTGCTGTAGGATATGTGAAAAATCCACACTGGATTTCCAAAGACAGTACCCAAACAAAAAAGAGAGAAAGATGATTTCACCTGTTTTGTTTTATAAAATGTGGCTACTAGAAAATATTAAATTACTTATCTGGCTTGCATTTTATGTACATTGAATAGCTCTAAACTAGATACAAATAAGAAGCTAGAAGGTCTCAGGAGATTTGCAATTTAGACATTTCCAAAGCATGTATTAGAAATTTTGCTAACATAGAATGAAATTCTTTTCAAATCAAGTAAATATTTATATCAGCTTCATTTTTTAAACAATGCCAGTTATAAAATGCTATGTTTCAATAGTGTCTAAGTTAGGCTAAATATCATGTTTTAGTTTTAGGAGCTTTCAGTAATTATTAATTTGCATAAAATGAAATTTTTTTTTACTTACTCATATCGAAAACACCAATTTTGGTTTATGCTAAAATATGTAACATTATTGTACAAATGACAGAGGAAAAAGATGTAGATTTTTTTGCTCTTAGAATTAGTGATGAAAATGCTTTAAACAGCTAATCAGACCACCAGATTGAAATACTCAAACAATTGCAGAAAATAGTGTTTTATAATAGTAGCACTATTTCAGGGCTGTGGGCTCACAGCACACATCTCCAGAGTGTTTCCATGATGACAGCTCATTATCCATCTCAGCATGTTCTAACACCCCTTGGAGAATATATGTGCTTGAGATCATTTCATTCTGTAAGTTTCCATGTCATTTTTGGGGGGATATGTAGAAAATATGGAAGATATTATTTAGCATTTTGTCCTAAAATAATGTCTAAAGAATTTGTTTAGCTTGACTAAAAATTTTAAAGCATGATTATTTCTCTATGGTGACTGTTAAATCTTTGTAATTTTTTTAACACTATCTTATGCCCAGAGAGAAAATGGGACCTAGTAATTACAGTTGCAAAATGAAATCAAGATTTAATTTGGAATTTTAAATCTCAGCTTACTGGTCACAAAAAAGTACCTGTCTTTAAAATCTCAGATTCTGAATGTACTTCATTTAAAACGAGAGTAGAGTGGTCCAATAGTTTAGATAACCTTAAGATACATGCAAAGTCATAGTTTACATTTTTTAAAAAAATATGTTTCTTAGAAGACAAAAGTTATAATATAGTTGGAGTATACTATGTTGCTATACAATTCAGATTTTGAAGAAAAGAACCAATTCAAATAATTGATTGAATGTCCATACAAGTTATCGGAATATTCTGGGAAATCATGACTGCATTTAAAATAAGTAGATCTTGCTTGGCACTGTGGCTCATGCCTGTAATCCCAGCATTTTGGGAAGCCAAGGCGGTAGGGTAGCTTGAGCCTAGGAGTTCAAAATCAACCTGGACAAGATGGCAAGAACCCCGTCTCTACAAAAAATGTAAACAGTTAGCCAGGCACTGTGGTGCATGCCTGTAGCCCCAGCTACTTGGAAGACTTAGACAAGACGGAAGGATGGCTTGAACCCAGGAATCTGAGGCGGTAGTGAGCTGTGATCACACCACTCCACTCTAGCTTGGGCAACAAAGCAAGACCTCATCTCTAATAAAAAAAATATACAAAAATAAGATAAAATAAGTAGATGACACATATTATTTCTCACATTTATAAAATGTCTTTTATTAAATTATGTGTCATGATTTTGACTCAGATATACTTATCATAATTATAAGGTATATTATTAACTTTATCTGCATAAGATCCTTAGGTACAGAGGCAAAATTGATAGTAGGAAGTTCTAAATAATATGTATTTTTGACACTAAGTGATAACTCCATAGTGGAATAATGCTGTGGTTCATTGGGTCTAGGAGACTGGTGAGTGCCTAAGACAACTAAATTCGAAAAATGTTTAACAACTTCTACAGACTGTGCATAATGGAACACTATATACAGCCAATGATAACTGCGCCATCACCTAAGGGGAATATTAGTAAAAAACAATGGACTCTATAGGCAGGAACTTTGAATGGGCAACTCCACCCAAAAATAAGAGAGCTAGGAAATGGGGTGTCACAGAAACTACTTCCAAAGGAGATGTTCCCTTGTTTAGGATCTAAAGAAATCTGAAGTTGTAAACAGTGTATCAACAATATCAAATGAGGCACTGAAATCAATCAGTATAAGGAAAGAAAAAAAGGCCATTTAATTTGGTCATCAGCAGGCATAGTGACCGTAAGGAGTGCAGAAGTGCCAAGAGAGAGCATAAACCAGACTGGCAGGAATGAAATCAGAGGTAGAGTGAAGGCTCCACTAGAGAAAACTTTTCCTCAAAAGAGATGGAATGAGGAAGCAAAGTCATATTTAGGATGGAAAAATCTGAGCTTATGTGAAAGCTGAGGAGAGAGCCAAATAGAAACTGGGAGATGGCGTCTACTATAGCTAACACGTGCTTGGCCACATTCACATACCCACAGGGATAGAGCAAACAAGTAAAGAGAAGGAATATTTTAAAGGATAGGGTATTAGCTACTTATTAGGTAATGTTAGACTTGAGCAACAGAAACTATATAATTCCTGTTTAACTCATTCTATATCTGGAGTGCATACACATCCAGAAGTCAAGACCATGTTTAATAACCATTTGTGATTCCCGATGCCTTCCTCATGCTGTCTTTCCTAGATCTCTTTACAAGGAAAGCCAAAAAAGTGATGCTCTTTCCAGCAGGAAAAATTAAATAACTGTATCTTCCATGCCAAACTGTGATGATAAGCTACGGTACTTATGTTTTAATTAAAACATGAAAGGGGATTCAAGTACCAAAATTTAATTGACATGTTTACAGCAGCATCCCATGTGCCAAATTAATTCATAAAAATGTTGTTCTTTGCATTTTTGAAGATTGAATCCATTCATAAAATTAATCAGTTGTGTTTAGTTACCCAGCCTTTTCCCTAACCATGCACAAAGCTACATCTTTCAAAAGCAAGATTAAGGAAACATATACCACGTGAAGCCCCTGGAGTCTTCATGTAAAATAGGAATCAGATTTTAAAATCTGCTTTTCTTTATCATGAGAGAGGTTGTCCTGATACCTGTATCTGCTCACCATTTGCTACTTTTTAAAGTTAGTTTTTACAATACTGGTGTGGGCCCAGGATAAATTAAGACTTGTAAATTCACTTGCCATAGTGGTCATGTAAAATTCCATCTAGGAAGAGGATCATGAAATGCTTTGTTTCATAATGCCTGAGGATCTGAGGACCCAACTTCAAAGAAGCAACACTAGCCACAGCTGACCACTGAACACTAATACCTAAAGAATGCCTTTGGGAGGCCTAGGTGGGTGGATCACGAGGTCAAGAGATCCAGACCATCCTTGTTAACATGGTGAAACCCCGTCTCTACTAAAAATACAAAAAATTAGCTGGACGTGGTGGCACGTGCCTGTAATCCCAGCTACTCAGGAGGCTGAGGCAGGAGAATTGCCTGAACCCAGGAGGCGGAGGTTGCGGTCAGCCGAGATCGCGCCATTGCACTCCAGCCTGGGTAACAAGAGAGAAACTCCGTCTCAAAAAAAAAAGAATGCTTTATCTCCTCTTAGTCAATTTCTTTACAACCAATGCCTCCTCTTGAGCGTCATTAAGCAACACCTGAGAGTGTCCCTGACAGTTCTGCAAAAAGGACTGAAGAAAAGAAGATTGAAAAAAAAAAAAAAAAGAGTACAAGGGAATAGAAGAGTTAGAAGAGTAAAAGGACGTTTGTGGGGCACAGTTGAACAACATGCAAAGCAACTCAGGTCCAGATAGGTATCTACCAGATACTCTCATCTAACAACCTCCCCGGTGCATAGTTTCTTTAGGAACAAGAGAAAGGAACAGTGATTGTTAACTCTGCTGCAGTGGGGTGAAGAGTTGGCCCTTGGATTTCTTCACTTTAAGTTCTCGCATTAATAAGGAAAGAAATAAAACATAATACAGTAATTGAAACATGTCATCGGACCAAAGAGCAGCTAGGGGAAACTCAGAAACATCACAATCTGCCACGAGAGCTAATAAAGCAGGAAAGAAAAACAGTGATGTTTCCCAGCTTTGTACAGGTAATTTTAGATATTTTCTAAAGGCAGACTCCAAGGAAAAAAGGAAACCAAAGAAAAATTATCTTTCTAAAATGTTCTTATTTTCCCTAAAAAAAAAAAAAAAAAATACTGCTGCCTCAAGGCACAATCTATCATATAAACTTTTTTCCAGTTGACTATTTCTCTAAAATCTCCAGACCCTGCAGCCTCTGAATCTGTGTTCAAAATTAACAAAGAAATAAAAAATAAATTACATCTGCCAGCATTCTTCTCTAAGGGGTCTCTCTTTGCCTCTCTCTGCTTGCTCATGAACCGTGAAGCTGGCCACCTCTGCTGGGAAGAACGGAAGAGTGAAGATGAAATGGCTGGTACATACCACCCTCTGTTTGAAATCAGGGTGGGTCAGAACAACAGGATCATAATTGTCACCAAAATATACATAAAGGGTAGGAAAAGGAGAATGAATGCATTGTTCATATCTCTGTTCTTCAGAGTTAAATAAAATTCACTTGCTAAAATCTAGATTTTTCTCCTAAAAAGAAGTGATTTGTTATTCATTAAGGAAAAGCCCCTTAATTCCTCCAGGAATCACAGATTCTCTGACAGAAGAGAAACTTCTTGTTCCTTGATACCTCTCAAAGTTCCATTACTGGGATTGTTGTAATTTCAGCATTTCTTTAGGGGAAAAGTTTTACTTAGCAAACAAGGTGGATCATACAATAAAGTTCTTGCAGAGCTCCTTGTGCAATGTGGATGGGTGCTGGAAGAACAATCTCCCACTTAGCATACTGAGTGGCGACGCAAAAGTGAGACAAACACAGGAGAGGAAAAGTTCCAGTTAAACATATGCTGGCTCTATCATGTTAAGTGTCACAAATACAGCACCTTCTATTTGTATTTTTAATGTATATGTGGTCTAGAGTTCCTCCAAACTTAAAGTGACGTACAAAAGAGATTGCCAGGAGCAGTTGTATTATCATCAACTTGTAGAAGTTTGAACAATGATTGAGCAGTATCTGTCATCTCCCATCTCCCCTTGTCTTTCTCTTTCCCTTGGGAGGAGTACAGACACCTGCTATGATTTTGTAGGGCTCAATTCCATCTGCCTCCAGACTCCCAAAGGATTAGCACATACCCCAATATGTGATTTCATATATGATATGTAGACTTCAGAATAAACTGAGTTCAAAAGCCAATTGTGTCTCATAGTGTGTAAGGCAAGGTTTTCATCTTCCCTCTGCCACCACCTCTATTTAATAGGAATGGAATTTTTTTAAGTCTTCCATCTTTAAAATATGACTGATTATATAATTTGTAAAGGATAACTAAAGGATGTAGAGGTCTAATTGGTTATTCTTCCTGCAGAGTTTCACATTATGTGTTGAATGGAAAAGATCTTGGTCATGTATGCATTTGGTCATAAAAGGGTGTGAATGCTCATTGAATTGTTTACAATGCATATATACATGTACTTATGTGCCTGATTCAACTTTATTCAAGAGAGCACCAGACAAATAATCGGCATTTGCCTACATCTTAGAAGTGAATGATGACTTTCATATATCCCTGGAAATATTCCAAGTTGTTATGCATCAAGGCAAGCCTGTAAATTGCGCTTTGTACACTGTATCACTCCGGCAGCCCCACCTGCTGCAGAGCTGGAAAATATCTGCCTGGTCAGCATTCAGTGAGCCTCTCTCTCTGACAAGTGCTACCATATAACTGTGTGGCTCAGACATAGATTTTTGTCCCATGAGACTTCTCTGAAATCCCATCTTGATTTCCACAACTATCCAGTTTAAGCAAGAGGAATTTTACTTAATACCTCTTTCTATCAGTTCTAATACCTCCTCTAAACCATGAAGGCCCAGAAATCACTAAACATTTCTTAAACAAGGGTTAGCATAATAAACAGTTCTTAAAATTGCTGATCACCTGCTGACATCCCAGCAGTGGGCATGAGAGTACACACAGCTCAGTCACGACTGAAGTATTTCCCCTTGAGGAAGGTGCCAAGAGGCGAGGGGACAGGCTAAACATAAGCCATATTCTACTTAAAAAGTCTAAATCTTTTTATATTTAATCGTTTTTGTTTATTCTAAGGCTGAAAAACATGACATTGAGGAGAGTTTTTCACCTTATTTTGAAATACATCTCTGTTGTTTCAGCTGACTTCGGAAAAGTCTCTTATTTATTTTGAGTACACTCACAAAGTCGAAAGTCAATTTGTGGCTTGCACATTCTAAAATATTTCGAGGACAAAAGTCCATCTTAGACCCAGGTAAATTTCTACCTGTAAGTTACAAAAACCCTAAAGGAGTTTGTCAGAAAATAAATGTTTCACTTGAACACCAATACAAGAAATGTTACATTCTGTATCTTCTAATTTTTACAGTTTTAAAAGAAACAACTTCCATTGTGCATACATTTACACACACACATACACACTTAAACTGGATGCATCAAATCATAAACATATTAATAAATTACTAGGCAGTGCTTTACTAGACAGTTCCAGGGTTTTGCCATCTGTTCTCTCTTACTTGTGTAATAATTGTTCTAATCAGAGTAAACATCCTCAAAGTGACAGTCAAGCTTCTTGAGGGCAATGCAATGCTCTCAGGAAAATAAAGAATTATAAAGGCATCAATTCTTTTACTCAGAAAATTCATGTACTCTTTCTGCTTCTGGTAATACCCCAGTAGTGCCCCTGGCTGGTCACTATTATTCAAGGGACTACCTAAATTTGGAATACCTACTTTTTTGCTACCATATTTTTTGTATCCTCTATGGTTTCCATTGACCCTAACAGCACTCTCATTAATCACATCCACAAAATTAACTTATCATTGGTGTGTTCAGTTCCTCAGGGGCTGGGAAAGAGCAGGATTCATTACTCAATGGGATCTCCTTTATGCCAGGTCCAGATTATAAGGAATTGGATGTTCACCTTCGGAGGATGGAGTCTGGATTTGGCTTCAGAATCCTCGGGGGAGATGAGCCTGGACAGCCTGTAAGTTGAATCCTCTTTATTTCCACACTTGGGGCTCTAATGTGTGAGTAAGCACCAGGGTATAGAGTGTTTTCTAAACATCTAAAAGAAAACGTTTTAGGACTCTCATAAAGACGTTTAAGAAGTTTAAGCTTTGAGTTTTTTTCTCGCTATTTTCTTTACAAAGATCTCATGATATGCAATTATCTCCACGACCAATATCTCATTATAAATCACATTAAATAGGAGCATTGCTGATTTTTAGAATGGATTGAATTCCTCTTAAGTATTTCAGTTATCTAATTGTACTGAATCCCTGTTATCTTTGAGTGACAGCTCAGGAGTAGAGGTGACCCCTGACTGGGAATGGCAGAATTATGTGTCTTTAACCAAAATAGCAAGGGAGATAAAAAACAGGGATAAACAGGAATAAAATCAGGCTCAGCACTGTAGAATGTCAGCCAGATTTGAATTAAGGGATTACCAGAAGATGTCATAAAGTCAACTTGTTGGCATAATATTGGTAAATTTAAAAGGGCTTTGGAAAAATCTGTGTGTGTGTGTGTGTGTGTGTGTGTGTGTGTGTGTGTGTGTTCAGAGGGAAAACATAAAATACTAATAATCATTAATACACGGAAAACACAGCAAGGCTAGATTTATGAGCATGTGTTAAAATATCAGCTATAAAACATGCATTGGTCCATGAAAGTTTTGAATAAGTGAAGGGCCTAAGCGGTGCAGTCAGCTGTCTACATCCCATCCAGCTCTGGCATCTGAACTCCATCCTATCATGCAAGAGAGTTGAATTTTAAGCCTCAGCTTTCTCATCTGCAAGATGGGGATTACAGTAGTACTCTATTGTAGAGTAGCTTTGAGGATTAAAGGAGATAATGTATATAAAGGTCTTGGCATTATGTCTGGATCATATTAAGTGCTGAATAAATGCTTATCATTATCAATTTTGTTTCTCTTGTCACTAGATTTTCCCAGGAAATATACTATACATATAGTGTGTGTGTGTGTGTGTGTGTGTGTGTGTGTGTGTGCATGCATGTGTGTGTGTATGTGTGTGTGTATGGTTTTTAAATACACTATATGCACTATAAATGTTACATATATGTGGTTTTCTTGAGACACAGTCTTGCTCTGTCACCCAGGCTGGAGTGCAGTAGTACAGTTGTGGCTCACTGCAGTCTCAACGTCCTGGACCCAATCAATCCTCCCACCTCAGCCTCCCGAATAGCTGAGACTATAGGCATATGCCACCATTCCCAGCCCCAGAAAATAAAATTTAAAAATAAAACATGGGCAGAAATGTTCAGGAGAAAAAAGTTAACCTAATAAGTGAAAGGAATCTGAAACAGTTAAAACCGTCTCAGAGTAAAGTAGATTGCTTGGGTAAAGAGTGGGCTCCTCCCCACAAGAGGTATTCAAGCAATCAATGGGAACCTGGCAGGAACCCTGAGGAGCTTCCTCTGCCCTGCGGGAGGAGTTGAACTAGATGATTGATGAAGTCCCTTTCTACAGAAAACTCCAGGAAGCTGAGTTTACACTCCAAGGATGAGGACTCTCCAGGAAAAAAAGACGTATTCCTGAAATCCTGGGGATAAAATTTGGCAACAGTCAACCAAACGTCACTAACTACCCAGCTGCCAAAGAAAATGTGGAGGTACTTTTGCCAAGGAGGATTGGCCAGATTTTTCTTAGTGCTTTGAGAGGAGGGAGAATGCTGAGGTAGAATACAGGGCTCAAGTAACTTCGGATTTAAATTTGTTCGCAGACTAAATTAAGGATCTCATGTCACAGGGAGAAGGAACTCTTGGCTGTTTCACTCTCATTCACAGCTTTGTCTGCTCTCTACCCGCACCCCCACCCCACCGCCTGTCTCTGATTCTGAGATTACCAGGGATCCCAGGTCACCAAGTCAGCCCTCCAGCCTCCCTGCCCTCTATAACTCACCTTGTTGTATAACAGAGAGAACTGAAAATTCTCAAGTCCCTTCATATCTGTAAACATGTATGTAATACACTGATTTATGCTACAGAACCTCCTGACCTCCACGGGATATTTATCCAACTTGGCTTCCTTCAGGATTGTTCATTTGCCTGCCTGTTTTGTTTAATCAGCAGGATTTTAAATTTCTCCTAATCAAGGACCTTGTCTTACCCTTTTTATACAACGTGAGTGTCCCATAATTGAAAAATGGGTCATTATCCAGTGAGTCAAACTCAAGGTGAAGGTCACGGTCTTCAGAATGCCACCTCTGCTCAAGACTCCTGGCATCAATTGAAATAAGTTTGCGAAACATCAGAGTCTAAGGGAACAGTCTCCACAGACCGCCCCCACTTTAGACACTTGCTCTGAATCTGAGGGCCCCACCATGTAGTAGGTTCACAGTGTACTGTTGCCAACTTGTCTGCGTCTGTTGAGACAGAACACCCACCCACATGCCGGGCTACATGAAGAGGATTTATCACTTACAGGGAGGCAGCAAGGGAATGTGGAAGCCAATGATTCATGGAGAGCAAGTTTCCCCAAGGCTCAGGAAAGCTGCCTAGGACAGACAGAGTCTCCACTCTGTCACACTTGCACCTCAGCTGAGGGGCCCCAAAAAGCAGCCCACTGTGGGTTTTCTACCATGGAGAATTATGTCACACTGGACCCAAGCATTGAAGGACATACTGTTTCTAGCGGGGACTGGAACAGAATGCAGGCTGTTCCAGCTAGCCCCTCTTTATCTCAAGATGCTATGCCCCTAGCACCTTCTATAGTTATTCTTGAGAACTGCAAGAGAAAAAGGGGAAAGAATTGGGTGAGTCCAAGGCCACTCAGAGAACTGTCCTGTGCTCACAGCTTTCCTCAGGTCCAGTAATTCACTAGAACAACTCAGAACTCAAGAAAGTGCTATACTTATAATTACAGTATGAGCCTAGTGAAAGGATAAAAATTAGAACCAGCCAAAAAAAGAGGTACACAGGTCAAAGTCTAGAAGGGTTCCAAATGTGACACTTCCATCACCCTTAGGGACATGTTACCCTTCAGCATTCATTCAGAGAAGATTGGCAGACAAGGATGCTCACCCAAGGTGTCCAGGGTTTTTATCCCAGTGTTTTATTACATGGGCACAGTTGATTGAATCATGATTCATTGAACCACAAGGATGACCTCAATCTGGAGCCCCCTTTCTTCCCTGGAGGCCAGGCTGATCTCATGTGTCTCAAAGGCACAACCGTCTAATTACATTGTTGGTCTTTCTGGTATGGTCAGCCCCCACCCCAAGACTATTGGTATGGCTGGCCCCATCCTGAGTCATCTCCTTAGCATAAACCATCGGCTATGGTCTAAGGGGCTCACCATGAATGACAAAGACACTTCTAATTCCAAGGGTTTCGAGGTTATCTTTCAGGAACCGGGAACAATGGCCAGACTTCACTTTGAACTGAGGCAAAATTATTTACAGCAAAGCCATATGCTTAAAAGATACCAAATGAATGAAACAAAATGAAACCATGCTCAAAATAAAATATAACTTTAAGGCAATTTTTGTATCATTCTGTGGGATACTGAACACTAGCTGAAACAATTACAGGGCATTTAAGGGCAAATCCATCTAGAATCCATTGCATTTATACTAACATAAATACTTCAAACTTACCAACCTAAGGGATTTCCAACAGAAAGATGAGCTGTTTGTTCTAGAATACACTGACTGACATGCTTTTTCCCCCGCTTTTACTAATCTCTGAGCTCCTCAAAGGCAAGGTTGGTAATTTAATGGTGTTTATGTTTGTAAGGCTAGCCTGGTACAATAAATATTTATTAAATGAAATTGAAGAGAATATTTTTTCACCAAATCAAAACTGTCACCTGAGCTTCTCAGAACAAGTAAGGATCTGGAGTTTATATTTTCTGAGTCCTCTAAACTCTACAGGCTCTGTAGAATTAATGCGGCCTAGTCCTAGAAACAAGAGATAGTGTCCTGGCGGCCTACAGCATGCTTTGTTGAGTTCCCCTGGTATTTTACAATTGTTGAGCTCCAATTAATTTCACCTTTTAAAACATTGATTTTCATCTTTTCTTGAAAATTAAATTTAGCAACATTGAGCTTGCCTTTCTCCATGACAACGACTAGCTGGAACTAAGCAATGGTTCTTTTTAGACTGAGCCTGGCTGCAGTTCCTAAAGCTCCCGTATGCCTATGTTACTCTTTAAAGCTACTCTCTTACAGATTCCCATTCCAGTGTCTGTCCCAGAGGACTGAATTAAAAGAAACTGGAAAGATAAATATTGTATGCCAATGGAGCCTTCAATAGGGGCTAGATATTTACCAGACCTAACCTAAGCACTGAAAAGATATCAGTTTAATACAAGTAACATTAAACTATAAAATAAATATAAGGTGAAGCAATGAAGTTTCTAATTCTTTCCATGATACTTACTTTAAGAGAGTCTTTAAGATATGAAATTCTTTACTGGACCCCTTGGCTCATGCTTTGTCTGCTTTGTGGGGAAGCAAGCACCCTACTCTGTAGCTATCATCTTCAACTGCTCCCCTCCTCCTCCAAAAGCGGAAGGGATTGCATGACTGAGTCACCGGGAGGGGATAGTCTTGGCTGGCTCTAGAGGAGAGTGGTGTTGCTGGACTCTGCCTGGCACAGAAGCAAGAGAATTGTTACCTGAAGGGAAGATGTACTGTTCAAAACGAAGCTCAGATGTGTGAATGCACCCAGCCTCAGGACCACTTTCTGCCTGCTTTGTACACAAGTTCCCAGGTTCCTATCACTTCTGAATACGGGCTTTGCATTCCTGAATCCTTTCTCCCCTCCAGTGGGCAGGCATCAGGTATTTATGATAAGCCTCCTCAGATTACATGGATTGCTGGTTATCCTATTGTGTTTACTCGGATTTATTCTGGTTTATTCCTTCATTTGAATGATTGAAGACATACTCATGCTGCAAGTTACACTTTTGATATCTAAGCCATAAGGTAGCAGCCTAAGTCTCTCTGAAGCAAACAAAGC